GGAACACAAAACTCTAGCCAAAAGAATAAGATCAGCAGAAAATGAATGATGTAGCAGTTTGTATGTAGATCATGACCCTCAACCAGTTATTCCAAAATCCTGAGCTCAGCCTCCCCAGCATGGCAGTGTCATTTTTGATTCATTTGTCCTGCTCTCTGCATAGTCTACTATTCATAGAACAGGAGTGGGAGGAGCAGGGACAGTGTGAGGCTAATTTAATGTCAAGGTTTTATAGCCCATACATTTCAGATCCCACTTAGTCATAATAAAGAAAAAAGATGTGTAGTGCTTTATGCAAACCCAGAAAAGTCACCACATACTCACATACTGTACTGCAAAGAGAACCACAGCTTACCTGATGGCTAATTCCACCTGGGAAGGATTTCGTTTTAAAACAATTGCCTGATTTCATTATAGGGAAGACTGTGGGAGTGTTTTCCAGAGAGAGGGTAGCATCTGCCTAGCTGAGGTCTTGCAGCACACAGAATCTGCCTGCAGTGGATTCTTAATTGTGGAATCACAGCCAAAGGGATGCCATACAGGAGAGCTGCTTGCAGTGACAGAGGTAGGTACAAAGGGCAGTGGGAACTATGGGCAGGGGCCCACCAACTACCTAGTTTGGGGAGAATGATCAGAAAAACTTTCACAGGGAAGGGATATTTGAACAGGACCTTGAAGGATGAATAGGAGTTCGCCACGTGGAAAAGGGAGAGGGTATATAGACAAAAGATAACAGTAGTACTGCAAGAGTTCTAGGACCTAGAAGAATATGGCCACTCCTGAAATGCTTCTTGACTGGTTTTGGCAGGAATTCAGGGAGAGAGGAGCATAGGGCAAAGAAAGGAGGCCAGAAATGTGGACTGGAGTCAGCTTATAAAGGGCCAGTAGTCTTACAAAGGGATCTGGACAGCATGGTATAATGGGAAGGATTTTGAGGGGTTGAAATGGATCAAACCTGGTTTTGAATCCATGCTTCATTAATTATTGGTTTTGGGAGAAACAGTCAATAGATTACAAGAAAAGTACATGGAGACAGCTCTCCGAGTCTCAACATCTTGGGGACATAATGCCCACCTCACAGGGGTATTGTTGGAATGAAACAGGTGAAGTATAAATTCCTAGCACAGTCATAGCACATTGCAGGCTCTCGTGAATATTAATTCCATCTTTTGCGGACAGAGGTACTGTTTCCAGCAGGGCAGACTTTCAGTCAGGTTTCTATTTCAGCAAGGTAACTCCAATGATTTGTGCTAGGAGGGCACAAAAAACAGAGAAAATAGCAAGCTCGAGGGATGAGTTGCTTTGCTGATCTGTAAAGGATGAGTTTTAACAGCTTCACTTTCCAGGGCTTATAGTCTCATTCCTAGGTACCAGATTTGGGGGTTGTAGACTATGGTTCCAACATCTGGATTTCTCTCTAGAACACTGTATAATGAACAGGCTTAGCTGACTCAATTTCCTCAATGTGAAGAGACCAATTTGAAGGTACACAGTTCAAGACAATGTAAGCTTATTTGGCCACAAACAAGCTACCTTCCTCCTAGTCTCCACTTTATTAATTCATTTACTCACTCATTAATCAACCAACATTTATGGAGGGTCAATCTGTAAGTGGGGTGTGTGGTTACTGGGATAGAATCTCCCACTCTCTCATCTGTGTGGTTTCATATGCTCAGAACTGGAAGGAAGAGTGATGCCGTCCCCAACCAGCACCTGGGCATCCCTGATTTCCCGCTGGTGAGTGGGATGTTATCCTGGCTTGTGGAATTAGCTGGATGGAGAACTTGACCCAGTGGAAACAGTCCAGCTGGAAAATTGCTGCTCTATGCAATAATTACTAAGCTCCATTTTCTAAAATCTCAATACAGAAAAGTGAATTAGAGACCCCGAACCCCAACTCTCTGAGCAAAAGATAGATGCAAAGAAACAGCGAATGGGCAATGCTGGCTTCTTACTCCTGATTGGACTTGAGAAGATAAATCCAGAGTGAAAATATGTCCACTTAGTGGACTCCTCAATTTGATAAATCAGACAATCTTACCTCAAATCGAGAGAATTTAGAGAACTAACCAAGAAAAACTATTTTCATGTGGTCAAACAACAATGCTATCACCCAAACAAAAAGAATGGAATGTATCATATCAAAACTTACCCATCTCATTAAGACACCCTCAAACACTCGTTTTTCCCTCCCAAACCCATGCATCATCCTAAGATCCTCCTAACAGGTGTCTGGCTGTGGTGTTGACACTTTCCTGCTGTCCTCCACAGTGTTCTCAGAGTTCTCTCCGCAAGGACAGAAGCACGTTGTGCCCTCTGCTCAGGCTCCTGTCTGACTCCCTGTCTCCTCCTCAGGCTGCCAGCTGGGAAGAGAGGCCACTCTAAGCCCACCACTCCTGAGCACCACCTGACACACCTTGACTTGCCCAGACTCTATTACTCAATTGGACAGAACTGGGGAATGATGCCATGACTTCAGAGCTTAGAGTTATTTTCTTTTCCATTTCCATTTCCTTCCAAGTCCAGCCCAACTACCACTTCTTCCAAGCACCATTCCCTTGCTCCTCCCTCCAGAGGGCCAGCTGCCTTCTACCTACAGGGTCACCTCTATACTCCAGCGTCTCTGACAAGTCTTTGTCACCTGCACTGACCTTTACAAACAAGAACAAAGGCTTTGCCTTCTATTTCTTCATTTCCCCACTGTGAGTCCAGTACCCAGCACCTGATAGACAACTCTATGTGTAATTTTTTTTGGCATCAAATTGAATGATGAAATAGGAGGGAGAGGAATAGGTGTTCCAAAATAGAACGAAGGAAACAAAGCCAATCAAATTGGATCTCTCAGCCATAATCAACACTCTTTTACTGTGAGGGGTTACTTTGTGCAGGGGGTAGAGTTTGAGCCCTGAGAACCATACAAATGTTGCCCTCATGGGTTCTGGAGTCAACCAGCCTGGGTCAGAATGCCTGGTCGCCATTTACTGCATGACCTTAGACAGGCTACTTAATTCAGGCTTGCACCTGTAAACCAAGTAATAATGGTCCTTCACCTTAAAAGTTTTTCAAGAGAATGGATAAGAAAATCCTTGTCTAGCACTTAGAGCAGTGCCTGGCAGAGTGGGCATGGGATAAATGTCAGCTGTTATTAAAGAGCTCACAGTCAAGCAAGCTTAAAGTGGCCTGAAGATCAAGAGCGCCATTGCTGAGAATCTGCACTCTGCTGCACAAGAGCTCTGGATCTGCCGAGTGATTCTTTGATGAGAGGCTCAGGATGGGCTGTTTTTCATTCCTCGGAGGCATGATGTGGATTAGATGAGGTGACTGAAATGTTTTTTAGGCTTTAGCTAGCTCTCAAGTTTTTGTGCAGTATTCAAGACAATGGCTAGCATCAGCTTGCTGGGACACAACAAAGGACTGGGTGGTTCATGGGTAAAGGATAGAGGAGGTCGTGCTGTTAGCCCCCAGGGAAGGTTCTGTGGCAAAGAAAATGAGTTTTTACAGCTGAGTTTTGCTTAGTTTTCTGGGTGATATGTCATGCAACTTTTTCCCTCAGCCTTCTTAGTGGTTTTCAGTGGAATCCCCTTCACTTTGTCTGCTGCTGCAGTTTGCTTCCTTTGAGGATAATGCAAGTGTAGGCTCCAGGTAGTGGTGAAAATAGTAGTGTCCCCTAAAGGCCAATCACATCTGGGTTACAAATAATTACAAACCAATGTCAGAGGTTTGAGGAGAAAGGCCCTTTGGATACACAGGGGCAAAAACATCCTTGGGAACAGCCGGAGAGGGTCAGCACATTGCAGCTGCTAAAGGTATATACATGTAATAGAGTCAAGTTCCAGTGTCTTGCAGCTGCCCATCAGGAATACCAGGGCTGGATAAACTCTCTAACACTAAACTCTACACATCTCTTACGATCATCTCTCACTTTTTCTCTGATTATGCTTTTTCGTGCTGGGGCAGGTAATGATCGTGGCCCTACCCAAACACTGGCATGGATGGCTCAGTGCCTGAAGTGCCAAATGGGCCAAGAGACACAGCACTGGACAATCTCCAGGAGCCTACATGAAATTAAGCACTATTCAGTGGATCAAGCACTTGGATGCCCTAACCGAAATTTGAGTTCAATCCCCTAAACCCAACAATGTCTAGACGTTATTCAGTTTTTCCCATTTCATCTGACTAATGTTGAACATTTACTACCTCTCAGGTGTTATGCTATGTGCTTTACTCGCACCACTTCTCATTCTCCTCGAAACCTATAAAGTTTGGTAAAATGATAAACTCCACCCCATAGATGAGAAAACTGAGGCTGAGCGAGGTCAGCTAACCAGACGAGGTCACACAACCTGTAAGTGCTAGGACATCTAACCCAGCTAGGGCTTGGAATCCAGAGGCTGGCTAGGCTAGCTGGTTTGAAAAGGACCAAATGCAGTTCAACTAACTGTTACCAACTGTTACCAACTTGCAGGTGGAAGACTGCTCTTGTTATATCTGAATCACTTCTGTGTGATGCTGGGCAAGTCACTAAACCTTTCTGGGCACCAGTTTTTTTGTTTTTTTGTTTTTTTCCCAAGAGTAAACTTCTCTACCTCAGATTTGTTTTAAGGAGTAACTGCATGTGAAAACCTAATACAAGGAGTGGAATAGGATGAAAGCCATCCCTTTGTCTTCCCAAATAGACAGCAGACATACTCCAGTCGTCATTTGCGGGGTAGATAATTTCTGGTACATCTAGCCAAATGTGATTAACAAGAAAAAGTTTAATATAGAACCACTCCCTTTTCTGACTCACTAAGAAAATGAGATAATCTTGAATATTGCATTAAAATAAAGAATTTCAAAGTTGAGTTTGAATTTTGGCTGCTCCATACTAAGCATTTTCATATGCATTTAAACGCCAGTAAAATAAAATAAGGCTTCCAGATGGTTAAGTGAATTGCATTCAGTCACACAGCTAGGGAGTAGCACAGTAAGGATTTGAACCCAGGACGACTTGGTTTTACCTGTAGGTGCTTTCCCATGCAGCAAGGGCTTAGGCGAGATCCACTCGATTACAGATGCTACAATTCTGCCTTTGTAGGACTCCACTGGTTCAAGTGACGTCACCGTAACATCCATGGGACCTGCTTCTAGGGTCTCATGCACCTGAAATGGAAGAGTTTCATCCTCACCATGTCAAAGTGTAAAACTTTAGCAAAATCCAAACTCAGCTAAAAAAAATTCACCAAAGTAGCACAAATTGTAGAAGAATCAAAAGATTCTTGTGCATTACTTGCTGAGGGATAACTTTCATAGCTTTGAGGGAAGATTTAAATATTTTAAAATTATGAACTATATAGAAAGTGAAACATTTAAAATAATGACGTGAAATTTAAAGCAGATAAACTGAAAAAATATTTGTACTAAAGATATTTAAGTATATGAAGAAATAATTATTCATATAAAGAAATAATTCAAGTTAAGGAAAGAAAAAAGAGAGAAATCAACAGATCTCTGACCTAAGGACTTGAAGAAAAAATTTACACGGATCAAGACACAAATATTAAACATTTACTCTAGGAAACGTTTTCTTCTGAGTAGCAATCAAAGGATTATTCAAATCATTTTTTTATTACCATAGCAATGTAAAATAGTTTTATAGTTCTTAATATTTACTAAATGTTTAACAAATATAAACACATTTAATCCCCTAAACCGCCTTAGAAGACATTAAACCACCTTTCCATTTCATAATTGAGGAAACCCTAGAGGTTTAGCAACTTCTCAACTCAAACAACCAGTTTGAAACAAGTGAGGCTTACATACAGACAGTCTGGCTTTTATAGGCAGAATTTAGGAAATTAGCAAAAATGAAAACACTTGAAAGTAGAATATTCAGTGCTAGTTAAGTTCTTGAGAGGCCCAGTGCTGCATCTGTGCAAATTAACACAACTCTCTGGAAAAGCAATTAGTGATAGATTATAAGAGCCATAAAAATATACCTTTTGTTCCAGTAGATTCATGTAGATTGGGAAATAATTCAACAGAAGCAGAAAACAGAAGCAGAAATCTGTGGGCAACTGTGATACAGATTAGCCCTGTCCAACATCAATATAGCAAAATCCAGATATATAATTTAAATTTTTCTAGGAACCATATTTAAACAGATAAAAAGCTATACAAGATTAATTTTAATTATTTTATTTAACCCAGTAATTCACATACTGTAACTTCTGCATTAATAATCAATATAAACATTTAAGTTTACTTTTTTGTATTCTAAGTCTTAGAAATCTGGTGACTGTTTTATATTTAAGTTACATTTCAATCCAGACCAGACATATTTCAAGTGCTCAATAGCCATATGTGGCTAGTGCCTACCATATGGAATAGCACAGATCTAGAACAGCAGAAAATAGGAAATGACCATAATAGCCAATGGTGAAGAGAACAGTTTAGAAAATTATAGTAGATCAGTCTGGAATTGTATGAAATCATTACCAATAGTAAATTCAAAAAGCCATATATAAGTATATAAAGTGTTTCTGCTTTGTTAAGTAAAAAATATTAAATATTTAAAATCTTACATATTTAAAACTTGTCTATATGCAGACCATGGGTGAAGGAGAATGTTCACACATTAAAATAGTTGTGTTAGGATTTAAGATTGTTTTGTCAAAATTTATCTTTGTTTAAATAGGTATTTAATATCTATTTCTACTAAGAAACTTTACAAACTGAAAAAAGACAAAAAAAGACTATAGTAACACAAGCATTTGAAGATTTGTTGTTCTACATTTTTATAAACCACTAACTTAATAAATTCTACATTCTATTTATCATATGGGCTTACCCATATTTTGCTACTCTCAATATAGAATTTGGGACTTGAGGTCATCTTTTGGTGTTTATGTTAATGTTCTTAAAAGAGTTGAGTTTAAAAGGTCACTTACAAACTATTGAATAATACATTATCTGGACAATGGGATGCTATGACCATTATTCACACTTTGTAATATATTTAATATACATTTTTATGTTACATTTTTTTCTATGAGCTATCATGAAAACAAACTCAAAGATATTCCACTTTTTCTACAGATTTTTAGAGATAGAAACTAATGAAAAAAATCCTAGCTACTTTAGAAAAATAAACTGGATTTTAGTTTTCGTTAACTTCTGCTTTAGTTCAGAAGCAGAGAAGGAAAGAAATGGAAGAGTTAGGTAAAGAAGAATGACTGGAATCATAAAAATGATGCCAGAATGGAATCCATATTCCATCCAGAATCCAAAATGATTCTAGAAATACATGGATTCGATTAAAGAAGGATGACTGGAATCACTGATGGCCATGAATCTGAACTCAGAGAAGCAGTCTCTTGGGCGGAGTGGACAACAGTTCTGGCATTGCCTCTTACTACTTCTCGGAACTCCTCCTTCATTTCCATATTTGTAGAACTGGAGGTCATAACCTCAATCTCACAGATAGAAGGATTAAATAAGAAAGTCCACTTCTCCAAAGATCTGTGATTCTTAAAGATTATTAATTGCACCCTGTGATTTGACAGATGAGGAACGTAAGTCCAGTGGTGACACGGGGTTGGACCCAGAGGTCTTGGCTGAATCAGGGTTCTCTGAGCACAGACCCGGAGCCCAGACTCTAGAGTAATAGGGCTGAGTTACAGTTTTGGCTCCTCCAGTTTCTGATCCATGACCCTGAGCAAGTTGCTTATACTCTCTGTCTCAGTTTCCTTGCCCTTAATATGAGGACAATCATTATTATTATATTCTTATCAAGATTAAATGTGACTATTTTAAAAATCTAGTATAGTGCCTGGCATGTTGCAAACTATCAGTAACTGTTACCTATTATTGTTAGGGGGAAATGATGTCCTGAGTTAATCCCATACAGGCTTTGTGGACCCCACCCCCACTCCAGACTAAAGCCATCAAGACATTGAGAAAGACAAATCCCATCACCACCAAAGGGAGGGTGGCTGGGACCTGAGGTTGGAGTTGGACAGCCAGGTTGGATATAAAAACAAACACGTGGGCCTTCGGGGGCTCGCTGTTGCTCGCCTCCTGGCTACACAGCTCCTGGCTTGCAGCCAGCTCTCAGAGCGCCATTTTGGGATTCCTGATTGGTGGATCGGGTAGGACTCATTTAAAACTTTGTCTCCCACTTTTCTCCCTGAGCTGTACATTTCCTCATTTCCCCTTCCCTTGTAAATAAAACTTTATTAACCTTTCGCGTGTGCCTGCAGTAGAGCATTGATAAGTCCTTTTAAGCGTGCGGGTGAGCACCCACAGTCAGGCACCCAGTTTTGTATCGGGGTTGCTCTACAACATTATCAGTGGTATTCCATGAAACTTTTTGAGTGCTTTCAGTGTTCCTAAACCAATTCTTATAATCATCCTTATTTTTCCCTCAACATGTATATTTTCCTTATTAATTGGTTGAATCTTTCCTCCAGGATTTAAATCCTAAGGAATTAAATTTCAGTATTTCATAGGAAAATATAACAGGGAGTTAGGGGAGGGGTCTTTGGATTACCACTAGAGGGAGTGTTGGCAAAATCTTATCTGAGGCATTTTGGGGCAGGCAGTGGAAAAACCCCTGAAAGGGGAGGATGAGGTGGGGGCTTAAGAAAAATCTGGGCAGAGTAGTGCTGCACCCGAGTAACAGCTGTCATTTACTGAGTATCATTTACTTGCTGTATCCTAGGCCTGTGCCTCATTACTATCAGTTTTCTGAAAAGGGGGGATAATAATAGTAGCTCCTTGGAAACAGTTGTGTGCTCTTGAAGAAATACTATGTGCTATGTGACAGTGAGTGTTTGACACACCATATACAGTCAGTCACTACCATTATCATTACTATTAAACCCCTCATATTTCCCACAAGGAAGTCTAAGCAACAAGCTCAAAACCACAGCACTGATAAAAGTCAGATAAGGTGGCTCTTAACTCTGCAGTGCTCCCGCCCCCAATCCCCCCGAGTCATCCTGCTCCTACTCACCCAGCTCCACCTTTCAGTCTTTCTTCTGGCTCTGCTATCACAGGGAATCCCTCGCTCCAGGCTCTCTGGCTGAATGACCTGGGCCAGACCCTTCACCTCTCTGCAACTTCATCTTTGTTCATCTGCAAAGTGGAGGATCAGATACCTTAGTGGCATTTTGTGGTGCTTCAATAAGATTTTCCAAGCAGAGTGCTCAGCCCAAAGTTTGGCACTTGAAAGTACTTGATCTGCATTAAGTTACTGTTGTAAAGTGGGATCTTCGGGACTAAAATTCCTAACTGCTGACGTTTCCATACTTACCCTTTATTTTGGAATAGTCTGTGGAAAAAAGAATGGGAGACCCAGGTTTTAACAGTCCTCTCTTTGTAATATGCCATTTTCTTACTGCAACACTGCAGGAGACAACGTGGCCCATCATGTCTGGCTTCTAAATTCATTGATGGTGTTAGTGGGCAATGAAATGTCAGAGCACTGGAATCCAACTGTCCCACTGCCATTCCCCGGTTTTCCCTGGGTGAATGGTAACATTTTCAAGTGGATAAAAATCTCCAGGCAACGTCGCTTTCCTCCTCCAGAGCAGATTTATTACAGAGTGGTTGGCATTTCCACATGCTCCGCATTTGTCAGTGTCAGATTCATATGCGTTCTTAGGTCTCTATACATATATAGGCATAATTTAAATCTCCTGCGAACAAAGGCTATTTTTCTAACTTGGAGATATTCCAAAAGATCTCTGAATTTCATCTATTTTTAAATGTTTGTGCAATTTAAAAGTATGGTAATATCGAATGGTACAGGGGAGAACTGAATATTCAGCTTCCAACAACTGATCATGTGCCATGTCAGGCACTTTTATATACAACAGTTAACTCCAAGATGAGTATGTGTTATTTTCAGTCTTCAGTGGGGGAAACTGAGGCTCAACACTATAAACTTCTTGCTCAAAGTCACATACACATGCACAAGTCACAGCAGCTGAGAGTGGTGTGGATGGGAGACAAACCATTTGATTCCACATTTGATGCTCCTGCCATTTTATCACAGCCTCCACAGAATAGAACTCATTCATTCAAAAACTATAGGACACCTACCATGTTCTAGGCATGATGCAGAGCTCTGGTAACATAGCAGTGGAAACAAATAAGTAAAAAATTCCTGCCTTCAACAAGCTTATATTCTAGTGGTCACACAATACAGATTAATTCTGTAAGTGGGGGGAAAGTTTTTCACTGGATGGAATGGAGGTGGAGGAGCAAGGCAGAATGCAAGAATGATGGGGAGCATGGTTTGTGTTCCTCCCCAGAGCACAGCAGCATGGGACTTGCTGGATAGGCGCTTTGGGAAGGTTTGAGAAGAGCAGTGGTGCATTAAGCTGCGACCCTTCCCACCAGGTCTCTCTTCTCTCCACTGCAACAGTTAAGGTGCTCTCTGAGTTGGGGTTCAGGGTTTTGAGAGCAAACATTACTACCCTAGAGCAAGAAGAGAGAAAGTGGGCTATTGACCCACAGGCCATGAGGGAATGTGTTGTTCAGGCAGTGAAGTTAGAGAAGGAGGTGGGAGTTCCAGAATGTTCACTGTTAGTGCTTGACAAATTAATAGTGGGCACACTATGATCACATATATGCCTTTCCTCAAAATTCTGTAGTGAAAGCAGTATAAAAATAACAACTTATCTTTCTGTTGTTGCTATTTTTCTGAGGAATATTGCAGCAACCATTCATTCAACACTTTCTCTGTGTGCATTGTCTCAATAAATTCCAAAAAGTGAAGCTGAGACACAGAGAAGCTAGTGAATGGAGAAACTGATGTTCAAACCTGACTCTGTCCAGCTATAAAGTTCTTGCCTTTTACACCATACCAAACTGCCCCTTTGGTTCCCCCGGATGCTATAAGGAGGATGCAGAAATAATTTGTGATTTTCATTGTGTCTGTTCTGGCCTTGTAACTCGGAGTATGGTCTGTGGGCCAGCAGCTTTGGGAGCTTGTTAGAAATGCAGAGTCTCGGGCCTCATCTAGGCCTATTGAATCAGAACCTGCTTTTGAACAAAACTCCCAGGCATATTAAAGTTTCAGAAACATACCTCTATATTTTTTGCCAAGATACATGACATAAACATTCTAAAGGTAGTGGAAAGATATGTCAACACCAAAAAATGATCATTTCTGAATTGAAGTGATGGCTACTGTTGAATTTAATCAAACGTGAAAGTTTTAGAACTTCTCTGAATGTCTATTACACAAAATCATTAAATAAAATTGATCTAAGAAATTAGCCAAAGTATAGAAGAATGTTTTGAGGATGTCTTCATGGGCTTTTAAAGAAAGGGATGCTCATTGTCTGGACACTTACTCCCAGTGGGAATCTCTGATCTGATAGTCAGCAGTTGAAGGATGGACAGGGTATGTGAGTACACCCATTAACCTGGATATAGAACAAAGTCTGCTGGACTTGAACTTTTATCTCAGATCATGTCCACTGATTCACTTTATGATGTTGGCAAATTATCAAAACCTCACTATCTAGAAGTCTTTGCCTGTGAACATTCAGCATAACGTGTGAGAGTTCTTTTACCATTTCCCTTATCACTCCCGCCCTAAAAACAAGCTTCCTTTATCACGATGATGATCATGATGATGATGATAAGGGAAACTTGCTTTTATGGCAGGAATATGAAATGAGTTGATATTCTGAAACCTCAAAATTCATAGATGTTTACTAAATTGTTTGCTAGCCCCTTTTGCTGACCAACAGTCCAACCAATCAAGCCATTAAAGTATATTTATTGGGGGGCCTCCCCGGTGGCGCAGTGGGTTGAGTGCAGCACTGTGAAGCTGTCCACAGCCTCTGCAGTTGCGGCTTGATTCCCAGCCAGCCAGGGAGATTCCCACATGGCACGGTAGACCTTTCCTGTCTCGCCCGCTGCTCCCCTCAGCGGTGTATTTCTATGATCCTTCTGCCTGTTCTGCTCCCAGCTCTGTCTCTGGTGGATTCTCTCACCCTCCTGCGCCTCTGGTCTGTACTCCAGTGCTTGTATAAATAAATAAATCTTTGAAAAAAAAATAAAGTATATTTATTGGGAAGTTGCTATGTGTCTTGGAGTACGAAGGTACTAATGCTCTTGTGGCAGGAAATGGTATGATATTTTTTCAGGCACTATGTTATTCAATGTCCACAGTGACCCTATGAGATTGGTTTTATTATTCCCATTGCAGATGAGGAAACAGGACAAATTATATTGAGAAAATTGTCCAAGGTCACCCAGATGGTGAGTTTCAGGACATTGATTCTAATCTAGCTCAATCTAATTTGGGACACATGTCCTTAATACCATGCTAAATGTCCTCTGTCCCAAAGCCTGTCATGCTTTAGAACAAGCTTTTTAAAAAGCAAAAGTGATGCCATTTTTAAAACAAATGTGTAGAGAATTAATAAGCTGTGGAAGACTCTTCCACCTTTCCTCTTTCCTTCATTGGGGGCTCTAATGGACATCAGGGAAGGCATCAGGTTAACAGCAATGTCAGAATGGGGAGCCTGCTGTTTTTAAATGAACTCACTAGAAACCCATGGAAATGAATTAAAAAAATATGACTGTGCCAGCCTACCTACTCACATTTTAGGTTCCTGGGGCATATGGGCACCAGCTCATTTAAAAAGCATTTTTAACAAAAGCACACAACAGAAATGTTCAGCATATGTTAGAGTAGGTAGGGATTCATGGAACCCGAAATCAACTTGCTTTTTATAGCCATCCGGAGAGGGGCAAATTAGTGTGAGCCCTTTATTCCTTCAGTGAGTACTGAAGAGAGGCCAGGCTGGGGAGCAGGTGAAGAACCCACACCAGCCACACCAGCGCTGCTGGGGAGGGTCCTGCTTCAACTCCTAGCCCCCACCCTCTCTCCCACCCACCTGCCACATCGTTTGCAACATTCTTCCTAAGGCAGTGCCACTTCTAAGAACCGCCCCATAGAAAAGTTTTTTCAAAAGACGATATAAATAATATGTGTTAATTAGAATATAGGTTTAAGGGGAAAAAATCATCCCTCCTCCCACTTTTTAATGAAAACATTTTGTTATCTATCCTTCTAGCTTTTTTTTTTTTTTGGTTGTTGATCTATATGATCTTACATTTATATATATATAAAATACTGTTGGCATATATGATGTTCCCACACACATGTATACATGTATATATACATATATGTACACACATGCATATATGTACAAATGCATACTTTCATTTCCTTAGCCAAACTGTGATTTTATCACATGTGTTTCATCAAATGTTGCTCCCCCACATTTAATACTTCCATTTCAAGTCAATGGCACAGGTCTACACCACCAGTAACAGCCCTGTGGTGCTATAGCACATTACTTACCATGATTTACTTAGGAATCTGGTGTTGTTGGACATTTAAGTTGCCTAACCAGCTGCTATCATCAACAGCAGCTCCTAAATGTCCTCACACACTCCACTCTGAGCACCTGTCCCTAATTCTTGCAAACACCCCCACCCTCGCACCTTATTTTAAAAATAAATTACAAATTACTACCATGTGTTGTCATCACTCCTTAATAGCTCAGTTTCAATTCATTCAAAGGCTCCTTTCTGTATTAATAGTTCAGAGCTTTGACTACAAAGGTTTGTAGGGGGTGAGCATAGTGGCTGTTTGGAGGAGAGTGAGGGCAGGAGGAAGAATGTCTTGGGGGTATAAGACATTACCAGAGGAAACAGGACAAATTGGGATGATAAGATCATACTGAGGAGGTTGGATTAAGAAAACTAATGCCAGAAAAGCAAAGAAACAGAGAGCAGAAATTAGAAGGCCTCAACGTTTGCCTCCCTGATTTGCAATTTTACTAACAATGGGTTCTTGACAAGAAATCTTAGAATGACCATCTTTGTTGGCCTTTTGGAAAATATTTTAACAATTGAGAGTCACAAAATATTCAAGGTATTTGATTCAGCAATAGTACATCCGGAAATACATCCTAAGGAGCTGATATCTTAGAAAGATAAAGATATATGCCAAAGATATTCATTACAGAGTGACTTAAAGTAACAGAAGCCTTTACTTAATGAGAGAGCAGTCAACAGTAAAGTAAATCAGGCGCCTCTAGCTG